CAGGGCTTCACACTTGCAAAGCAGGTGCTCTACCGCTTAAGTCATGCCTCCAGTCCATTTTGCTCTCCTAATTTTTGAAAATGGGATCTCAAGAACTATTTGCGTGCTCTGTCCTTGAACTTCTACTCTCCTGATCTCAGCCTTCCAAGAGGCTAAGATTACAGGCATGAGCTATTGGTGCCTGGCTAAGACAACAGTTTTAGACTGGAAGCAAAATCAAAGATCAAAATGCCATGAGAACGAGAATATAGGGGCTCCAAGACAAAACTGTGGGAAAGGAAAAGTAAGCAAATGAGTGAAAGGTGCTTTCAGGATTGTTTTTTTGTTTTAGCTAACTTGCCAGAAAATGGAATCAGATTCATTCCTAGATAATGCTTATTAAATGAATTATATCTTCAGAAGCAAAACAGAAATGTCATAATTTCTCAGTAAGAAAATATAATAGCATGAAGACATTCTTTATATCTTAGAAAAGTAAGCAGCTTTAGAGTCATATTAACATTGTTATTATTTATAATTATTAATAGAATAACACCAGCTAATATTTATTATTTACTATGTATCAGATGCTGTGCTAAATTTAATTTAATTCTCTTAACAACCCTATGAATCTATGAGAGATGGATATTGAGGTGCAAAGACTGTGAGTGCTCTGCCAAAGGTCAGAAGGGTAGAGGTACTAAGTCTGAACCTATAGTTCATGCTCTTAAACACTATGCCCTATCCTCTACTACAGTTGCATGTAAAGTGTGCATAGACATAAACTACTTTCCACAGAGGCCACACATGCACACACATACATACCCCAACAAAAGTGTTCTTTTCCCTCCCAAGTTGCCAACACTGAATACAATTAATTTGGGGTAGTCTATTGTTTTAATAAGGTTGAACATCTCTTCACTTATTCATTGGTCATTTCTTTTGGGAGCGTTTGTTCATATCTTTTCTCCATTTTGAGTTAAATGTTTATTTTTTGTAAAATGTTTATTTTATTGATTTGTAGGCAGCCATTTACATTCTGGGTACTATATTAATATTTATAGTATCAAAAATAAATAGAGATAATTAGCTAACCTTAAAGAAAACTAATTCTCTGGTGCATATCTTCTACCAAAGTAATGTCCCAAGATAATGAAATCATAAAAACTTAACCCTTTCTTATGATAGTCTGTCAGTTTCTTGATATTAATTTAACAAGGTATATATTGATGCCAATGCAAAAATAAATCAAATAGGTCAAACATTGCATTACACATATAGTAGAAACCAAGTATAAGAGTATATGATAAGCTAGGGCTGTTGGCATACCTATAGTTCCATGTACTAGAGGGGCTGATGCTGGAGAATCACTTGACCTCAGAAGTTCCAGACTAACCTGAGCAACACAGAGATTCTTATCTCAAAAAAAAAAAAAAGAAAGAAAAAGAAAAAGAGAACTATAATAAATGTGTGTCGCTGAAAACAACTCTTTGGAAATTATGAACATGATAAGTTTATTAAGCAAATAAAGTAAGTCACAAAACAATAATTCATTAAAAAGAAAAAAGCAAATATAAGGCCAGGTACAGTGGCTCACACCTGTAATACTAGTTACTTGGGAGGCAGAGATTGGGAGGATTTTAGTTTGAGGCCAGCCCATGCAAAAAGTTATTGAGACACCATTGCAACTAATATGCCGGGTGTGGTGGCACACGTCCTGTCATCCCACCTATGGAGGAGGCACAAATATGAGGTCAAGGTCCAGTCCAGCCCAGGCAAAAACATAAGACCCTATTCAAAAAATAACTAAAGCAAAAAGGGATAGGAGCTGGCTCAAGTGGTAAGTGCCTGCCCAGCAAGTATGAGGTCCCAAGTTCAAATCCTTATACCATTCCCTGCCTAACTCCCAAATACAATAAATGCTAGCCATGTTAGAATACACTAAAGTATTAACAAAGGGGGCTGGAGGTGTAGCTCAAGTGGTAAGAATGCAAACCCCTGAGTTTAAACCCCAGTACTGTAAATAAAACAAAACAAAAAACCCCTCAAAGGAACAAAGGTTATCCTAGGTGGCTGGAGTTTGTAATAGAAAAATTAAATATTATTTTAAAAAATACATTTTGGGGACACAAATATTTATAGAGATCTTACACTATGACATCTTTTGAAGATATTCCTCTGTGCAGAAGGAACTGCAACTTATACATTTTTGTATCCTTCAAGCAGAGTGCCCTATGCATAAAAGCCACCCAACAGACCCTGGTTGAAAGCATGCAATGGGGAATGTGGAATTCACAAACAATCTCTAAATCAGCTGCTAAAATGTTCCCCCAAGTAATATTTCCTTCATAACTTTCATTTACAATTAGGAAATATGATTTTAACAAACCACAAAAAAAATTCAAGACTCTTGGTGGATGAGAATGTGGCTCAAGTGGTAGAGTGCCTGTATGGCAAGCACAAGGACCTGAGTTCAAACCCTCATACAGCCAAAAAAAAAAGGAAATGCAAAACTCTTAATGTGTATGAGCTGAAAAGGGTGGGGAGAGATGGTGTAGAAGTGGTATGACAAAAAAATCTTAACAAATATTTTAGTTTTGAAGTAACTTAATGACAAATAAAAAAGATAAGAAAGTTCTTACTTTCCGTTTCTCTCTTAACCCTCAGATCCCAGTAAAGGCTAGCAGAGGTGAGCACTCTAGTGCTCCCATGCTAACTTTTATGCACCTGCTAACTTTTATGCACCTGCTTCCCTTGTGCTTCAGGATTTAATCAGCATCCATCCACTTTTCTTGAAAGCCTGTTTTCTTAATGCACTGTCATCACTGAAGTGGCTAACTCACCTTCCTTCTAGTGGGCCGACAGAAGTTTTTTTTCTACTCTTTTCTATATTGACTCCTTAGCCACTTTGTCAATTGGGTTAAGAGTCAAAACTGAAGATGAGAAATTCTAAGATTTTTCTGCTTCATTCAAAGCCATTTGTTGAAAACACTTGCTTTCAGCAAGCAACACGTTAGTTATAACCAGACAAAAACATTGGTTCTGAAATCTTTCAGTGTTCCACAGTCTCTGGCCTACTGTTCACAGCATCCATGTTAAGTAGCTATATAAATTATTCAAGGGGCTGGACACTGGTGGTTAACACCTGTAATCCTAGCTACTCAGGATGTAGGGATCAGGAGGATCGTGGTTCAAAGCCAGCCTGGTCAAATAGTTCTTGAGATCCTATCTTGAAAAAAGCACATCACAAAAAAAGGCTAGTGGAGTAGCTCAAGGTGAAGACCCCGAGTTCAAGCCCCAGTACTGAAAAAAAAATTATTCAAGGGAAAAATAGAATCCACACCATAACTTTTCTAACACTTTACTCATCCTATCTACTTATAGACTCCATTATGGAGAAAAACAAAAGTACACAGAGCTATACGTGTTTGCTACTAAACATCACTACACTACATAAAAATACTGAAAGTTAATCACGAATGGTAGTATGTAAAGAGGATACAGCTTTGGGCTTTTAAAAAATGTGGCAGGTTAGTTTCCACTTGAAGAATTTCATTTGTACATCCAAAACTTTTTTTTTTTTGGCAGTAATGGGGATTAAACTCAGGGTCTCACACTTGCTCGGCAGGTGCTAACTGCTTGAGCTACTCCACCAGCCCCATGCAAAACTTCTTTAATCTTTCTTTCTTTCTTTTTTTTTTTTCCTTTTTGGTGCTGGGGCTTGAACCCAGGGCTTCGTGAATGCAAACACTCTACCACTTAGTTCTCAGATGCCAATACCTCCACTTCATTCCTGTACCTTTCTCCATTGTGTTCTAAAATTTACTACCAACTCGGTTTCTGACTATGACAAAACAATTACACGATCTGCAAGGGTGAAATGGGCATTGTGAAAAGCACAACAGGCGACTCAGACAACACTGCTTAATAAATCTCCAGAGAAAGAGCTCTATAAAGTGGTGACATTTCTTCGAGAGAAGAACTAAGAACGTTCCAGGAGAAGGGAGGTAAGAAGAGATTAAGGTCAGCAGGAGAAGGTAAAATTGCAATACACAGGATCAAATGTTTTCTCTGCACATCTTGTGACAGACTAAGACGCCATCAAAACTCAAAGCTTCCTCGCTACACTGAGGAGAGGAGGTGGCAAAAGTGGCACCAGGACAAACCTGGGACAATGAGATCTGTACCTACTACACACATCCTATGGTGTCGTCAAATAATTGCTGGACAGCTCCACCGTGGCTAGGCGTTAACCACACGGATGCCAGCGTGAGATACCTCTGCTAGGAGTCTCAATGCAAATCCCAAGTCCCTCAAGGCACGTCACACGCAGGCTTACGGTCCTCGTCTTGCTGGACGAGGGGAAAACACTGGCTGTCCAGTGCTCCTAAAGGCAACCAGAGAGTGAAGACGAGGTCGATCTCGGATTTCTATTCCCACCTCCCTCTACTATTCCAGCCTTGGAAGAAGCCACAAGTGAGGCAGGGAAGTTGTGGCAACGAGCCGGGGGTGGAGTGGGGCGGGGGACCTGAGAGTTTAAACGCAGCATTTGCACGCACCCCACACAAGGTCACTCGCTCCGAGTCACTTTTCCCCGCTGCCCTGGTGGGCTTCCCGCCAAAGACGCCTCTAGGCTTCCTTCCAGGCCGGCCCGCCGCGCCCCCTCAGCCCTGCTAGCCGGCCGCAGCGGCTTCCCGGCCTCCGGGTCCGGGCCGGAGCTCCGGACCCAGCTGGCCCCGGGACACCGGTTTCCGACGCCTCTCGCAGCTGGGTCCCGGGTCTCGTCCGCCTCCACGCCCCCGGGCTCCGCCAACGTCCCCTTCCTCCCTCAGAGCGCCCCTCTGTGCCTGCTCCCGGTCCCGTTCCCGGTCCCGCCCGCGGCCCGCACGCTGTTCCTTTCCAGTCCCCTCTCGCGGCCCTTCTTTACGGGTGCCCACCTGGCGCCCCCGGCCCCCGCCAGTCTCCTCAGGGAGCGGCCGCCTCCAAGTCCTCCCGGTCCCGCCCCGCTCCCGGGCGGATACAGTTTGAAGCCTCTCAGGATCTCCCTGGCCCGCTCGTCCTTGGCCGACATGATGTGGCGGCTGCCACCCGCGGCTCTCCCACACTGGCCGGACGAGCCTCGCAGACGGTACCCAGAAGCCGAGGACAGAGCCACAACCCGGCCTGGAGACCTCGGGAGAGCAGCAGCAGAGGCCAGACCCGGACCGGCCTCTCCCTCCCCTCAGCTCCCGCTGCTGATCCCTTCTCCTTCCCTCTAGGAGCGGAGCGTCCGCCCCAAAGCCAATGGCAAGCCAGTCTTCGCGATTGGCATCCTCAGCAGCCAATAGGAATGTTCAGCGGCTTCGCGGGGACGAAGAGCGTCAATGGGAAAGGTCCTCCTCGAGAAGTCCCATAGGGCAAAATTTTCATTCGGTGTTGTTGCCTAGAGTTTGCCCCAGTGGAGGGGTGGCTTGCAATCTGCAGAGGCTCCGGGGACCTACTCCTGTCGCTGTGCACACTAGCCATCTGAGACGATGGTAGTGTGCACCGTGAGAAGTGGCTGAGACTACATTTCCCAGCATTCTAGTGTGAGTCAGGGACCACAAATCCCAGAAACACACCAGAGGTCCGAGACTACAAATCCCAGCATTCCTCGAGCTCGGTTCCTCTAACTTAGATTCCAGTGTGCCCTGCAGTGTGCACAAATTCACAACCCGCCCGCTAGCGAGCTTGGTGATTTCAGAATCCCGAGACTTGAAACCAGGCGGGAAGACATTCTTCACGCTGAAAAGAAGATGACAGCCCACGAAGAATTAACTTCTGTTTACGTGGAACTCAGAAGTCTCCTTCAAATCATGGTAAGGCTGCAGACAACAAACAAAAACACTCATTAACCCATGAAAGTGGAACAAGATGATTTCCTCAAATCGTGTTCGGTTTGTTGGTCTGAGGCGCTTTTTACGTGTTTTGCTGGGTTTTCTGGTGTGTTCTTGCTTTGGACTGGGAAAACTATGGATTGTATACTCAGAATGTTAATGCAGAAAGGGACTTTAAAGAATTTGCTATTCCAATCCCTTTTGTTTTTACATGTGAGGAAATTGAGGCCCAGAGAGGCAAAGAGATTGGTCAGAGATCACAGCAAGTTGGGACAGTTAGAATGCAGCCTGAGGTCTACTGACCTGAAGTCCAGTTCTTTGCACTACGCTAGGGGGACGTTATTTTTAGTAGCGTGACAACGTGACTGTTATTCTCCTTGATGAACAGTTTTCCCAATCAGGTTTGAAACACCCGGAAGACAGGTAAGCATTTAGTTGATGGATTTCCTGCAAGTGCGGATGCTCCATGTTTGTTTATCCTCAGTGTAAGCATACTTGGTGTTTCGACTTGCTATTTTTTGTCACTCAAGGTGACATTTAATGTGATTTCAGGAAGTAGGTAAGATTGGTGTAAGCCACGCTTTCCTTGAAGACCTCCCATGTGCTTTCCTAGACCTTCCTTCCTGTTCCTGTCCCCTTTCTCATCCATCTGGGCACCAAGCCAATTTTTTCTTTCATGTAATTCAAAGATATTGTCAGCTTCTATTATTTGTCAGGTACAGAGTGTGTAAAAGGTGAAAGACATGTTCACTGTCACTAGAACGAATAACCACCTAGTTAGGGAAATAAAGAAACTCAAGACGTAATGTGATAAATGCCATAAAAGAAACGGTGTCAGAATGCCACAGAAGCCCTGATGGAGAGATTTATAACAGTTGACAAAACTTTATGGAGAAAGTGGCATTTCAACTTGAAGGATCATAGAATCTTTTTCTATGTTACCACATTTTTATCCTCAGATTTTCATTCGTTTGTTTGAAATAGGGTCTCACTATGGAACTTTCTACGTAGACCAGGCTGGCTTTGAGCTCATAATCTTCCTGCCTCAGCCTCCTGAGTGCTGGGATTACAGACTTTTGTTTTGAGACAGGGTCGTGCTGTGAAGCCCAGGCTGACATCAAACTGACAATCTTCCTGCCTCAGTCTCCCAAGTGCACAGATGTGTGCCACCAAGCACACATCTCCATTAAATATTTTGTTTAATAAGGTATAACATACATGCAGTGAGAGAACAATTTTCACATATATACATACCCTTGTTGCCACCATCCAAATCAAGATATAAACATTTGCAGCACTCCTTGTGCCCCTTCCCAGTTGGTACTGCATCTTCACATCTGGAGATAACCAACCACTCTTCTGACTTTAACACAGGTTAGATCAGTTTTGTTTGTACTTGAATTTCACTTAAATGTAATGATAAGTGTGTATAGTATATATCTGGCTTTTCTTGTCAGTATTTTTGTGAGATTCATACAAGTTATGTGTACCTTTTTTCCCAGTTGCTCAGTAATACTCCTTTGTATGTATATGCTACAGCTTATTGTTGGTGGACATCTGGATTGTTACCATTTTTTGGCTGGTATTAATACAGCCAAATTCTTACATGTGCATTCCTTTATGTTTCTTTCTTTTTTTGGTGGGACTGGGATTTGAACTCAGGACTTCACACTTGCAAAGCAGGTATTCTACCACTTTAGCCACACCTCCAGTCCATTTTGTTCTGGTATTTTGGAGGGGGGAGGTCTCTCGAGGCGTCCTTCCTTGATCTGCCCAATCTCAGACTCTAAAGTAGCTAGGATTACAGGCATAAGCCACTGGTACCTGGCTTGTATATTTCTTTTTGTGGACATGTGCACACATTTTAAGAGAGAAGTGACTAGCTGGGAGGGTATGCAGCTTTCCAAAGTGACTGTACAAATTTCCTTTCCCAGTAATGTAAGAGAATTCTAGTTGCCTTTATCCTTGTTCACTGGGTATTTGTCATTGGCCTTTTTAATTTTAGCCATTCTGGATAAACATGGCATTTCATTAACGTATCTATTTATATGTTTCTGATGTTGAGCACTTTTTTGCATGTTTATTGCCAGTTTGAATGTCCTCTTTGTCAAGTGCCTGTTCAAGTCTTTTGCCCACTTCTTAAAATTCGTCTTTTACTGGTTTGTAGTTCTTTACATAGTCTGGATACAGAGTTCTTTGTGTGATATACACTTTTGCAAATATCTTTTCCAAAACTGTGGCTTGTCTTTTCACTAGCGGGTTTTGAAATAGAAATTCTTAATTTTAACGTAGTGCAATAGCTTAGTGTGTTGTTTTATGGAACACTCTTGGCATTGAATTTAAGAAATCTTTGGCTGTAGGATTAGTAAGATTATTATAGGCAGATATGAGAGAAGAGGCAAAAGAGAAGAGCAACAAGCCTGATCTAAGTCATGCTGAGCAGGGGAAGGCTTGGTTTGAGCTGTCAAAAGGGTGAAGAGAGGCAAAGGTAGGAGGATTAGGAGGGAGGCACCCTGGGAAGGGCTTTAGCTGAAGCCCTGTGGGTCTGGACTGTTCTGGGGGATGCAGAGGTATTAGCAGAATTTTTATGAACTCAAACTGCACCCAGTTGTCTTCCATTCTCAAGTATGCCCTTGTTCCTCTGCTGCCCTATTAACACCACCTTTATTTATTTATTTTTTTCAGAGATGGAGACATTTAATGAAAATCAAAGATAAGTTCTATAAAAATAATCCAAACTTGTCTCTTCCTGTGTCAGATAAAATGCTCAGTAGCTCAAAGGCATTATGAATAAATCATTATTAAAATATCTTTTTTGTTTTCACCCTCTTTAACAGACAGGCAATAACTATTTCAACCAAAAAAAGTCTCCATGGTGATGGAGACCCACTCAGCCATGGCTGCAGCTCTTGGCCCTTCCTCACTCTCATTTCTTGGTGATAGCCAGAGTGTTGACAGTCAACAGGATGTGGTCATAGGCCAAGGGTCAGAGAACCCACATGGTAACTTCCGGGCAGTGTTAACACCACCTTTAGACAGCCCTGGCTTCCTGGGCAGAATCCCAAGTACCCTCCTTCCTGCTCCCTGCATTCAGCTGGCCACCAAGTCTGATAGATTCTATGGTCTTAATATTTCCAATGGTGTCCCTTCTTTTTCATCTCCAGCTGCTATGAATATTCTTCAAGATCTCACAGTCTGTTATTTGGAATAAATCAGTCACATCTCAGGGGTTTCCCTGCCTCCACAGCCAACCAGTCACTCTAAGATGCCACTTATTTACACCTTTTCTCAGTTTAAAAAGCCTAAATAGTTCCTCAGTGCCCTCAAGAGAAAATAAAAACCCTCCATCTGGCTTACACCCTCTGATTTGCTTGCTCACCGTGCCTCATCTCCTCCAGATACCTGTCCTAAACACCTCTCCCCAGACCACACTCAGGAGAGCCTTAATTATTCCCCCACGGTGCCTTGCCACCCTCTATGGGAAGATGTGTTTCTCAGGGTCTTGGGCTGTCTAAGGTGGAGCCTTTGCTGTCTTTAGGTTTTTACTGGGTATAGTACAGGGTATGTGGATTCCAAGACCCTTAATGACTTGACAGCAGCACTGCACCCCTTGTTTCCCACCCCTGAGCACTGGGTTCCAGCCACTCATTCTCCTTTTTCTGCATTAGTGCATGCTGCATAGTGCAAGCCTCTGTGAATATGGCCACTACTTCCTTTTCACTCAGAAAATGGCTGTTTTCCCCGATCTATTCTCTTTTGTGCTTCTAAAGTGATGTCATATCTTTCTCATAGCACTTAATGCATTGGAACTTTTTGAGGGCAAGAACCTTGTTTTATCTTATTGTAACCTTCTACAACACCTGGTAGTCAGGTGCTCTACCACTTGAGCCACTCCGCCAGCCTAACCTTTACAACACCTACTAGAACATAATAGACACTAAAGAAATATTTTGAATAAATGAATGAATTCATTGGTACTAGGCTCCTTAGCATCTGTCTTTTCTGACTTCTACACTTTAATGCACAACAGGTAAATAGGGCTCTTTTCCTTGTCTTCAAGACCTGAAAATCTGTGGCTATAAAGAAATCAGTTTAGCCTGGAGGTGTGGCTCAAGCAGTAGAGTGCCTGCTTTGCAAGTATGAAGCCCTGAGTTCAAACCCCAGGCCCATCCAAAAAAAAAAAAAAAAAAAAAAGAAATCAGTTTAAGGGGTTGGGCACCAAGGCACACACCTGTAATCCCAGCTACTCCAGGAAGCACAGATGGGAGGATTTGTGGGAGTCCTGCCTAGTGAAAAAGTTAGAGACTCCATTTCAACCAATAAAAGCTGAGCGTGGTGCTGCAAGCCTGTCATCTTAGGTATGAGCCAGAGCCATAAATAGGAGGAGCCTGATCCAGGCCTGTCTGGGCATAAAGTAAGACTCTTATTATTTTTGGTGGTACTGGAGTTTGAACTCAGGGCCTCACACTTACTAGGCAGATGCTCTACCACTTGAGCCACTCTGCCAGCGTGAAACTATTTGAAAAATTAAAGCAAAAGGGCTGTTAGTGTTGGCTCAATCAGTGGAATGCCAGAAAGCATGTAAGCCCTGAGTTCAAACCACAGTACCACCACCACCTAAAAAAAAAAAAAAAAGAAAAAGAAACGCCACATAAACTGATTTTTAAGTTTGTTTATTTTATTTATTTACTTATTTACTTATGGCACTGAAGAGTTGAACTTGGCCTCACGCAGGCGCTCTACCATAGTAAGTGGTGTTGCCATTTATTGACTTGGATTTTTAAGCTTAGCTCACCTGGAAAATAGGAATATTACAGGTCATGTTATGAAAATTCAATGCGATAACACATGTACAGCACCTGACACATGGAAAAATGTTCAATAAGTGCACATTGTTTTGAGGCTTAATGTTTCTCAGAATCCCGGGATAGCCGCAGTTGCCATGCGGAGCCCCTCAGTAAAGCCCAGCCAAAGGGTGGGTTTCCGGCCCAGATGGTGATGGCGATCGCCACGGTTCGGACCCCGGTATCACCTAGGCCACATTCCTCTCCTTGGGCCTCTTGTCCTTCGCCTTTGCACCCAGTTCGCGGGCTGCAGCCTGGCCGGGACCCTCTTTTCCCACCCGTGCCCTACTGAGGATCGGTGGCTGTGAACCAGGTTGTGGAACCTTGTGTGGGCGGAACTCGAGTGCAGCGGCGGGAGGCTTCCGGGGGAGCCTCATGGGCGGCGGGTCGGCGGAGGCAGAAAAGCGCCGGACGCCGGGCCGATCATGGACGCTTGACAACCTGCGGGCAGGCTCCGGGAGGCCGAGCCAGCGACGAAGAGGACTGAGAGTCGGCGTGGACAGGTACGGACAGCGAAAGAGCGGACCGTGCGGGGGCTGATGCGCCAATCTCGGCCGGACCTCTGGCTTTGTGCCCTGCCGCAGAAAAGCCAGCGGCCGCCCTGCCCCGCCCCCGCCCCGGGGAGCGCTCCCCACGGTTCCTCGCTCCACGCCCGCGGGCCTGCCCGGAGCAAGCTGCCAGCCCTGACGTCCACTCCAGCCTGCAACCCAAAGCTTCTGCGCTGTGGCTGTCCTGGATGCCTCCCTTCCCCCAGAGTCTGCCCGTTTGCCCCTGTCCGGTCCATAGAAATAGCGCCCTCCTCTGACGGGAATTATCTCCGTCTGTCTCTGTCTCTAGCTTCCTCCTAGGGGCTTCTCACTGTAGAAGAAAAGGACTATCACCGACGCCTTACACTCTCTGCCCCCGCAGGCTGAGATCTTTTGGAGACACCGAAGTTTCTCCCCACTTCCCTATCTCCTCTCCACTCCCAGCTCTTTCTGTTTCGTCTCTTGGCCTATATCCCAATCTGTGTGTCTATTCACACGTGTCCACTTGGAAGGGCCAGTATTCCTTCCTCCTTTTCTAACCATCCTCACCTACCTTCTTCCCCACCCTTCCCCTGCTTCCTATCACCCTTTCCCCTTCCTCCCCTTTCCTCTTCCCTCCTCAGAGCTCTTTGTTTCCTAGTACTTCACTTTTTCTGTTTCTGACAGGACCTTCTTAGGTAACCCTAAGTGAGGCAATACACTTGCTTTTCTAATAGGATGAAAGGACTGCCGCTCCGTATGCCTGACTCCACAGGAAAAATTAATTTCTCTTGCACCAAACTATTCTTTATTCTTTTGCTTTACTCTATTATCCATACCTCTTTCCTTCATTTTGTCACACTCCTCAATATGTATCATTTGTGTAAGACAAATTTTTCTTATGTGGGATTCCTGTAGCGTAGGGATGCTATGTGTCCACATACTCAGTATGTGTTTAGATTGCACAAGTGATGGGCCCTCTTGTGCTTAAATGTCTTGGGGATTGAAATACAGTATTTAAGTTGTTTTCCAAAATCTTGCTATTGTTAAGGTTTTGTACAGTTCTGAAGTCAAGTTTGGTAAAATGTCACATACCAGTAGGAGGCCAAATGGAGGGATTTTTCCCCATAGACTTACAAAGCATGTGTTTTCTAAGTTTGACTATATATTCCTTATTTTTCACAATGACTCTTTCCCTTTTCCTGTCGCTAAATGCCTTTTTTTTTCCTCCCTTGTGTCGCTGGGGTTGGAATCCAGGGTCTTAGACATGCTAAGTAAGCACTGCTGTACCACTGAGCTAACACCTCCAGCCCATGAATGAGTTTTTGTTGTTGTTTTGTTTTATGAAATGAAATGTGCTATTTGTGTACTTTTTGTTATCTGTGTTTGGCTTTAGAGGGGATTCTGGTGACATACAGGAAGCTGTAACAAATTGCCTCTATATGGGAATGTTTTCTTTCTCTTAAGAGTCCATAAATGACATAGATATGAAACATACAGGGAGGGCCAGACACTGGTGGCTCACACCTGTAATCCTTGCTACTTGGTGGGGGCCAAGACTAGGAGGATTGCAGTTCAAAGCCAGAACAAATAGTTTCAGACACACCCTGCACGCCCCCCCCCCATCTCCAAAAATAACCAGAGTAAAATGGACTGGAGTTGTTGCTTAAGCAGTAAAATACCTACTTGAGTTCAGACCTTAGTCCCACAAATTAAAAAACAAAAACATATTGAGACACTCTACACTCTAGTGTGGTGTTCTTTGCGAGAAGGACAGTGTTAGGGAAGTTTTTTGTTTTTGTTTTTGGTGGCACTAGGGTTTGAACTTGGCCTCATGGTTGCAAGGAAAGCAGGAAGTGTTTCTTACAAAGTGTGTTTCAGGACTGGAAGTGTGGCTCATGTGGTAAAGTGCCTGCTTTGCAAGTGCAGAGACCTGAGTTCAAACCCCAGTCTCACCAAAAAAAAAAAAAAAAAAAGAAAACAAAGTGTTTCAGAACTTTAGAATTGAGGGCAAAATCCCTTTAACTCCAGGTTGAACTTTACCCATCTTACATTCAGGAGCTGTTTTTTTAAAAAATATTTTTGACTGGGGTTTGAAATCAGGGCCACTTGTGCTTGGCCAAACAGGCACTCTACCACTTGACCCATGCTCCCAGATCTGTTTTATTTTTATGAACACTAGAAAAGTATACTGGCATCTCAATCCAGCATGATCTCTTTTGGAAAGGAGAAGAAGAATGACTTACTTACACTTTCCTTTTGGACAGATCACAAGGCCAGAGAATGGCAGGTGAACAGAAACCCTCAAGTAACCTTCTGGAGCAGTTTATTTTACTAGCCAAAGGTACCAGTGGCTCAGCTCTCACTGCTCTCATAAGCCAGGTGTTAGAGGCTCCCGGAGTGTATGTCTTTGGAGAACTGCTGGAACTGGCCAACGTTCAGGAGGTAAGAGTGGTTTCCAAACAGTTTCTTTGTCTTCTTTGTTCCAAGCTTTTCCTTCATTCTCCAAATGTCCATGGACTTTCAAGCGCTCAAGTACAGTGGTTCTGTTAAGGGAGAGGTAGAAATTGGTAAGTCAAGAGTAGGAGATTGAGGATGATAGCATGGACTCCTTTTATTCAATATTTTCCCCTGAACTTGGGTAAAATTAGATTGGATCATTAGTTATCAGAAAGATAGTAAAAAAGGCAAAATGGTCTTGATAAATCAGAAAAGTAGTGGTTTAAGTGTGGATACATTTCAACATAGATAGTTTCAGGGATTCAATATAGTATAGACAAGGAAGATTGGTTTTGGACATATGGAGTACAAAATTACTATTACTTATTTATTTTTGGTGGTACTGTAGTTTGAACTCCAGGCCTCATGCTTGCTAGGTAGGTACTCTGTCATTTAAGCCATATCCCCAATCCTTTTGTCTTTTTGTGCTCTTAGTTATTTTTTGGATAGGGTCTTGTCTTGTGTGTATCCGCCCATACCTCCCGCTAGTTAGAATTACAATTACAAGCAGTATAAACACAGTTATTGTTTAAAATGGGGTCTTGCTAGCTTTCTTGCCCAGACTGGTCTGAACTGCAGTCTCCCCATCTCTGTCTCCCAAGTAAGTGGAACTACAGGTCTGAACTATGGTGCCTAACCGTATTACTGCTGCTATTGAACATGAGATGAGCATGAATTGGAAAATATTGTTCCTGTGGAAAGGGGCAGTATTGTGCTAAAATAAATGTGCTTAAAAAGCTAAGACACATAAAGCAAGGAAATAATACAGTTTGCTTTGTCTGTTTGTTTTATTATTATATCTAGTTTTCATCATTATACCTCAAAAATGAGACAGTCTCTTGAAGAATCACCAGATGGAACAAAGTATAAAGCAGCTTATACTTTTCAACCTCTGTATCTCACTTTTGACACTTGTATTTTTATTTATTTGTTTATTTGAGATAACTATAAACATCTTTCTAGCTTTGGAGGGAGTACTCAATTACGTGTTATATTAGTGGGGCAGATCCACTTGTTCTTTTCTATCATAGGCTTCTGGTTGCACAGGATGGTGCTTGCTGTGTGGATGGCTACCATGCACAGATCCAGGGTGTGGTGCTTCTTGTTGGTTATGTGCTAGATGCTGTGTAGAGTGACATTGATGCTTTTGTTGGTGGTGGCCTGCATGTAGGAGTGGCTGGCTTTTGTTGGGTGCTTTATCACCTTCATGGTTACCATGGCACCTTTGCCATCAGCTGCTGGCTCCACTCCCACAACCAGTTGTAATCTGAGCTGTGGGCTTTCAGTGCTATATGTCTGCTTATTCCTTGTGATCAAGAGACTAGAGTAGTTCTCCATATCCATTCCATACCTGGATCCTCTTCCTCTAATGGCCAGAGATGGAAAGAAGGAGCCACTTTTAGTTTTTAATTGTAAGTTTTGTTTTATTGTCAGTCTTGCTTGCAAAAGTGTTATGCTCTGTGAAGGTGAGGTCTTCTGTGCTCACCATTATTTCCTTGGAGCTGAAGTCTTAGTTTGACACACTGTAAGCTTTTAATAAAAGTTTAAATTACCAGATACGGAAAATGAATTCTTTTTTTCCCCATTTTATTAGCATATATTCATTATATGGGGAGATTCATTGTGCCAATTCTGAAAAACCTTACATTGTACATTGGTTAGATTACCCCATCCTCTTCCCCCAGCCAATTTCCTCCCTGCCCTGGAAAATGAATTCTTTGAGGAAGATTTGAGAGGATTGGGTTCATTTTCAACAGAAGAGATGAACAAGGGATAATATGTTTCCTCAGGTTCATGAAAAGCCTGAACGAATACCTCAAGTGGATGCTGTGGAAAGGGGCAGTATTGTAACTGTGAAAGCTTGGCTAAGAGGAAACGTATGAAAATTAGAACTGACACAACCTTATTGACTTAGGCCAGTGGGAGAAGTTTCCAAGCATGTGCTGCAGAGGAGGTAGTCTATTCTGGCTAGTTTTGTAATTGCCTGGAAGGTCGGGGCTAGATTTGGTGGTTTCTACTAGGTCTCTTCCAACTCTGAGTCAGGAACCTCAGGAGGTCATGGTAACCTGAAAATGTAGAGAGGTATAAGATAGCAGAGTTCTCCTTGAGTGACTGGCAAACCACTCTGTCTCCCACAGTTTATGTTTTCTCTTTTGTGAACTGGGAATAAGCTTGTTGCCTTTCAGTGGTGTGAAATTATGGATGTAGTTCTTGGAACCTTTTTTTAAAAAATGACTAAAATTAAGTAGTATTGCTATCGGTGTCTGCCACTTATGTGTGTTAGACTTTATGGAATTGGTAAGTTGGAAGAGTAACAGGACCTTGTTTATAGTATAAGAAGCACCCAGTTAAGATAATTGACAGTAGGGCAGAGCTTTCTTTTGTTTTTCTTCTACAGATGTCTTTTTGCCATCGACATCAGTGAAGAGTAAGTAGTCTTAATGGAAAGTTTTATTTGAGGCAGCTTGATATCCTGGTTTCCTGTCCTAGCCTGGCTTTTTTGTACTAATCTCTCCCATGGTTCATAGTCCACATAGTAGGGACAGGAAGAAGGAGAGAAGCAGCCACTTGGGCCTACTATGTGTAATATAAAACATCTTCCTTAGGGAGAATAATTCAATTTAGGACTTTAATAATCTTACTTAATTTTTTCCTCAAGAACCAGAGAATTGGAAAGAACAGAATAAACAGCCATGGCATCTTTGGCACATGGTCACTTGTCCTCTGAACACCATAGTGATCGGTAAATGTTTGGACTCTGGTGAACTTTGTTTTTCCTCTTCAGCTTGCCGAAGGAGCTAATGCTGCTTATTTGCAGTTGCTGAACCTGTTTGCCTATGGAACATACCCAGATTACATAGGTGAGTTGGTTAAGATCCTTCAAAAGACTTGTCTTAACTATGTTGCTCTCTCTTTTTGGAGGATCATCGAGGTTTGAGATAGAAAGTTTGTGGGTATGAATGTTGTAGGGGTGAGGGGTTCTTGACCTGACTGTTTCTCATTCTACTGTGCCCCATAGGTGACCTCACAAAAGGAATTTTCTTTTCACCTTTTATTTCCTAGGGAATAAAATGGGGACTGTGGGTATATTCATCCATAAATAGAGCCTTTGTTTATTTCCCAGATGAGAGTCTTGAGAACTAGTGTTTGTAGGGTACTCAGATGGTATAGATTGCTAGAATACCTAATAGTAAATATTTCAACATTCTAATGTTATCAAAATTATTTTTTCTTTTTATTTTTTTCTTGAGACAATGGGGTCTTGCTACGTAGCATAGAATGGCTTTGAACTTGAAGTCTTTTTGCCTCAGCCAAGTGCTGGGATTATAGGCATTTTTAATATCCCATAATCTACCACTGTACCACTAAGCTATATCCCTAGTCCATTTGAGATGTTTTAGATTAGACTCTTCAACAACAGGAATGAAGGACTTGCATGTCCAAACACTAATTTACCCTTACATCCAACCATTTTTTTCTGGCTTTCCTAGGTTTTTTCTATCTTTTTTTTTTTTTTTTGTGGTATAAAAGTAGCCTGACACTTAAGATTTTCCCTACAGTATCCCTGACTTCTCCTCCTTTCTTACTGGTCAATTCTACTTTTTCTTTGCTACCATGAGACTGAACAGTTTGTCACTTCCTGGTACACCACATTTTTCTGACCTCTTTGTTCTGATGAGTGTATTCTCTGTTTGTGTCCTTACTTACAAAAGAAGCAGCATTGTGCAGACTCTGGTACCAGTTTGCCTGCATTTATGTTTTAACTCTGCATTTATGTTTTAACTTCTACTAGTTGTGTGTCTATCAACAAATTAAATAATCTATGTATCAGTAACATGAGAGTAATAATACAAGTCCTTAATCCCTTACCTGCACTCTTTGAGGCTAGATGTTTTCAGAATTTAGGATTTTGGGGACTTGAAAAAGATCATATGATATGCATACCTTTTTATATAACATTTGCAGAGGGGTGTAGGCAGCATTTGTAATTAAACACATGGATAATTTTACCACATTTTTTACCACAAAAAAATGTGGAATAAAGAGCTGGCCTCAGTTCAGGACAGGAATCACTACCAATTGAATTTTAGCACCATACTCGAGAAAAAAATCAATCAGTGTGGATCCAGCTTTTTGGAGTCCAGAATTATGGTAATTTAGAATATGTCTTTTGGGGATGTTGTGAAGATTAGTGTGTGTGTATGGATGCATCTGTGTGTGCTCAATTTGTCTCCTGCAACTGCTGCTATACTATTAATACTAAAATTTTCTCATCCCTCAAGGTTCATCTCAGGCTTCATGAGCCTTTCTTTCTTTTCATCTCCTGTATTTCCCAGATGAAATTGTGTTTGCCTTCTCTTTATCCCTCTCCCTGTCTCTGTCCTTATTCCCCTCCCTTTTTCCCCTTCTCTTCCCATCATCCCCTGTTCTTTGTCTTCCTCTTCCCCTTCTGGTGGTTTCTGTCTTTCTTTGGTAGTCCTGCCTTGCATTCGTAGCTGTTGACACACCTAATTGTAATACTGAGGACAAGTCCAGGGCCACTGAGTTGTACAATTCCAGGTGGTTGGTGTCCCCAGAGTTGTGTGATGCAGCAGCTCTTGACAAAGTCTATCTTATTCATCCTTGATTCCCTGTAAGAAAGTGCATGCTTTGCACATAACAGATGCTCAGTAAAGATGTGTTGAACTTAATTGAACTTTTCAAGGGGCACAAAGTATTCCATTAAAATCATCACTATATCATTTTATTTGTTCATACCTGGGTTTTCAGGAGACTAAACTCCTTGGATGTAGAGATTGAACATTCTTTTGGAAGCACATGATCTTTTAGGGAAGAGAGGAGGTGCCCACGGAATGTTTGCCAGTGAATAAGTACAGAGCCATGACAGTGATTTAGTAATAGATTTGGTAGGGAGTCAGTGAACTTACTCCATAAAAGAAATCCTAATTTTATTTTGTGTCTTGATCTTTGTGGTGGGTGGGACTGAGCAGCCAACAAGGAGAGCCTGCCGGAACTGAGCATAGCTCAGCAGAACAAGCTGAAACATCTTACCATCGTGAGTTTGGCGTCAAGAATGAAGGTACGGCCCCCAGCCCTTTCTTGTCTTCCTCAGAACCACACTCAGGTGTCTCATTGGCATCAGTGAGGGAACTCCTAGCTGCACAAGTAGAGTCTTATCTTAAATGCATGAAATTTACTTGGTAAAGGAAAAAAGAGAAAAATATTACAATTAGAATGTGTAGAGTTACTCCCATTCCACTCAGGAAAAGCATGCCCAGCAGTGATTGGATCAGCAGGTCTCTGTTCTGGCATGCTGTGGACCTCATGCGGGGTAAGCATTTTGCTATGTTAAGGGGAGACTGCTGTTTAAAGATACATACTTTTCAATTAGCAAGACGTCTTGTAGTAAGTTAATGACTCCCTCTGTTGCTTGGTGTACAGTGAGCTGTGCCCATGCTGAAGGAAAAACTTGCTGTATAGGATTTATAGAGAGGTAGATCTGTCTGTCTGTCTATCTATCTTGAGGGCCTTGTGCATATTAGGCAAATGCTTAATCAGTGAGCCACACCCCTGCCCAGGGAGGTAGATTTCTAATATTCTGTCTTTGGGATTTTTACAGTTAATTAACATCAGTTAGAATTTTTACCTCATATACTAGCTTTAGACCTAACCTGTAAGATGCTACTTCACCATACCTGCAGGTTCTCTGCCTCAGCTGATTTAGAAGAAGCCTTGTAGCCAGCTGTTTACAGCCATTAATAATGAGGGTCCAGACTTAGTTAATTTTGGCCCTCTGCCTAATCTAGCCTGAGTCTAAACCTTTGTGGAAGTAGGCCTTTTGCACTTCTCTGTGATTGAGTTTGAGAGATGGATGTTTGTTCCTGGATTGCCCTTTCAGTTTCTGAAATCATTTTACCTGAGCTAATCGCAAATTTGATTCTCAGCCTGGCATTTCAGGGCAGAGACTTTTTTCCCCTCTCCACTTTTCTCTTTCTCTTTCTCTCTCTCTCTGGTGCTGAGGATGGAACTCAGGGCCTAGTATATTTTAGGCAAGTGCTTACTATTAAGCTACATTGCCAGCTCAGGGAGCCCTATTTTCTTGAGAAGTGAGGACCTGACCTTTCTCTTTTCCTGATTATGTACTTTTCCAAGGGTGGCAAAGAGCAGGGTGACTTTTTCTTTCCTTTCTGCAGCCTAGATAGAATGCCATCAGTTATAGAAAACCCTTCTAGATGTTCTCTTTGTGTACATCTTCCTCTTGTCTATTTTTACAGATTTTTTTTTTTTTTTTTTTTTTTGCAGTACTGGGGTTTGAACTCAGGGCCTACACCTTGAGCCACTGCATCAGCCCTCTTTTTTTGTGTGTTGGGTTTTTTCGAGATAGGGTCTCTCAAGCTGTTTGTCTGGGCTGTCTTTGAGCCAAGATCCTCCTGATCTCTGGCTCCTGGGTAGCTAGGATTACAGGTGTGAGCCACCTGTGCCCGGCTGTTTCTACAAATTTGTTCACTGTGTTTATTTTTAAACTACTAGTGATGTATCAGGATTTGCAACAAGCTCTTTATTTATTTTTGGTGGTGTTGGGGTTTGAACTTGGCGTTGTGCTTGCTAGGCAGGTGCTATACCACTTGAGCCATGCCCACAGCCCATTTTTTTTGGTGGCACTGGGGTTTGAACTTAGGGTTCATGTTTGCTAGGCAGGCACTCTACCACTTGAACCACTGCACCAGCCCTTTTTTATGTTGGCTATTTTCAAGATAGGGTCTCATGAACTATTTGCCTGGAATGGCCTCAAACTGCAATGCTCCTGATCTTTGCCTCCTGAGTAACTAGGATTATAAGTGTGAGCCACCAGCACCCTACCCCACCCCAGCCTGTTTTTTGCTTTAGTTATTTTTCAGATAACATCTCACAGTTTTGCCTGAGGCCTCAGATAGTGATCCACCTATGTTCACCTCCTGCCTAGCTGGAGGTATAAAAACACAATGCCCAGCTTATTTGTTGAGATGGGGTTTCATTAACTTTTGTGTGAGCTGGCCTCAAGCTGCTATTCTCCTGATCTCTGCCTTTGGAATAGCTGGAATTATAGGCATGAGCCACTGAGACTGGACTGGATATTTAGATATCTTGTTTTAGAGTCATGCAGAATGTTAGTACAACCCAGTAAAGGACTATTGTTGGGAATTTGGCATTGGTTTCTGGGAAAACAGGAACAAACTTCAGGGTGATTTGGACTGGCTGTCTCCACTGGCCATCTGTAGGTAAATGTTCTGGCCTGCAAGTTTTTTTTTGTTTTAAATTGCTCTGCTGGACAAACAGCTATTTCTCTTCAGTGTTTGGAATCTATTGGAGGTTTGAATAATCTAGCATTCTCTGCAAAGTCTACAAGTTTCCAGAAGGTTGCAAAGTGTCACTTACTGAGTGTTTTTCTTTCCTTTGGAAGAAGTATTTATGATCTGTAAGAGGATGCTCCAGGTTGTGGAAGCTGAGGGCTGGATGAGGTCTGGGATGTAGAAAAGTAGCGGGCCCTTATTGGATGCTGTGGGTCTTGTCTGGGTCTCACAGTTCATTTATCATCTCTTCTTGTCCTAGATATTGATGATTACCATTGGCCTCCATTGCCCAAATCCAGAGGCAGTTGTTGGTTGTGTGGGTAGTACCTGCATTTTCATTAATGCTTACCAGGTGTTCTTTATAACTATCACATGATCTTATCCACAGTGTATCCCTTACTCTGTGCTGCTGAAGGACCTGGAGATGAGAAATCTCCGGGAACTAGAAGACCTTATCATAGAGGCTGTCTACACTGATATCATCCAGGGCAAGCTGGACCAGCGAAACCAGCTGCTTGAAGTGGATTTTTGCATTGGCCGTGACATCCGGAAGAAGGATATCAATAATATTGTCAAGACCTTGCATGAATGGTGAGGCTGAAAGAAGGAGGGGGATAGCTAGCATTCCCTTTGTGCTTCTGCTTGCAAAAACATGATTTCTAGAAGTCAGCTTGGTGTAGGCCTTGAGGCTCCTGGGGAACTGGGACCTTAAGACAGTGAACCGGAGAGTGGGACTGCCTTGTGGTTGCAGCTGTGTAGCAATAGTTTTAGGCTTCTTGGTGCCTGGATTGTAAAATTGTTCTTATTTTAAATGCAGTAGGAGCTATTTAACAGTATACTATAAAATACCCAGGTGGAGATGCAGGTGGAGCCTCTGCATCATAGCTGTGTAACACCACCAATTCTGCACTTTCCCAAACATCCCCAACCCTGCAGACTCAAAGTTTGGCCAAGCTCAGAAGTTAGCATTTGTAAGATTGAGAATCCATGTTCAGAGTCAGTAATACACTGGGCTGGTGTTTTGTAAAATACTGTGAAGGATATTGGCAGACATGGAGTGAATTTTTCTTATTTGGAACACAGATTAGCACACAGACTATTTGTCCTGGTATAAAAAGAATTGGGTACCAGGCACTGTGGTTTATGTCTGTTACTCCCGCTATTCTGGAGGTAGTGATAGGATTGCAGCTTGAGGCCAGCCTGGGCAAAAAGTTAGCAAGCAAGACCCAGTGTCAAAAACAAACTGTATATGGAGATGCATGCTAGCAGTCCCAGGTACTCAGGAGGTGGAGGTAAGAGGATTGTGGTCTAGGCAAAGTAAGCTCAAAGCCTGATCTGAAAAACTAGAGCAAAAGGACTGGGGGCATGGCTCAAGTGGTAGAGCTCTGGCAAGCATAAGGTCCTGTGTTCAATCCTTAGTACATAACAACAACCAAAAATTGGGTGTAGTCATTAATTTTAATGGAATTCGATATTTGTAAGAGCAGTTACATATTTTATAAGGATTTATTGTGGAGTTACTTAAATGATTTGGAGCTTATAAATCCAGATAGACTTAGAGAAGTTTTAGTGAGTTTGAAGGAGGGCCAGGAGTAGAGTATAATTGAAGGTGAGGAGAGTATGTTCACAGGCAGGCCCAGGCATGCTGGAAGGTCACAGAGCAGAACTACAAACTTAGTGCAGAGGGATAGGGAAAGTGTTTCCTTCAAAACAAACTGAATCTCTGGCTTATCCCCAAGTAGAGGTTATCCAGATATGAGTGGCCCAGCTTTGATTTGGTAGGGTCTGATGCCCCAGTTTTCCCTCACTTATGCTACTAGACCTCAGGACATGTGTTACCCAGCCCTCACCCTGAATTCTGTCTCAACTGTGGCCCCATATACCTTCCCTTTGCAACATTTGACAAAAGCAGGGATTTTCAAAAGATTGTAAAACTGTTAAAACAGAATAAGCTTAGCAGGCTGGGGATGTGACTCAGTGGTAGAGAGCTTGCGGGGCATGTTACATCCCCAGCACTATGAAAGAAAGAGGAAGGGGAGGAGGAAGGGAGGGAAGGGAAGAAAGAGGGAAAGAGAGTAAGAAAGAGGCAAGGAGGGAGGGAGAGAGAGAAGAAAGGAGAGAAAGAAAGAAAAATATACTTGATATAAAAATGGACTGGCATACCAAATCTAGATGTGCAGTCATACTAAAGCTGGTTGTCTTGTTCCAACTTTGACCATGGTCTGATTTCCTCTGGTAAGTCCCCAATATATTTGACCAGAAGAAATCCTGACTCCTGTCCCAGGGTCTTCACCAGGGGAGATTTTTATAACTCCTATTGAGGTGTTGGCAACAGAGTTGTGTTGAAAGGTAGAACAAATATGGCAGAAGTGTTCACAATAATAAATCTTTGGGTTTTTTTTTTTTTTTTTTTTGGTGTTACTGGGGTTTGAACTCAGGGCTTCAGGCTTGCTAGGCAGGCACTGTACTGCTTGAACCACTCTACCACTTATAATAGTGAATCTTAAGTGGAGGGTATGTGGATATTTATTGTACTATTCTTTCAAAAAAAATCTATTTATTTATCTTTAATTCTCAAAATAAAAACTGGGGAGAATAAAAGTGAGGAGGGATGTGGGCAATTAGGAAGTAACTTCAATTTCTGAGGAACAGGGCAGTCTCCAAAATACAAGACTTTTAGAAATATTTTTCCTGTTGAAGAAAGTGACTACTCAGGGACACCTGGAGAGTTTCTCCCTTCTCCTTCAGTTTCACATTCCATAAAACCATTTCCCATCGACTGTAAAAGTTGGAAATTAGAGCCCTGTACCAAGAAACTACCCACAAAGCACATTTTTTGTTTTGTGTTATGTGTTGAGACAAGCTTGTTGCTTGGAAGGAGGGAGGAGCAGGGGCCCTGACAGGGAGTATTAAAGGAAGTCCCATAAGGTGCTGAGAGGGCTGTGGGGAGGAGATTCCTGAGGCTTGGAAAAGATTCCCTCAGACTTTTGGTAATCAGGGCTGGTTTTCTCTGTTGCAGGTGTGATGGTTGTGAAGCGGTTCTACTGGGCATTGAGCAGCAAGTTCTGAGAGCCAACCAGTACAAAGAGAACCACCACCGGACTCAGCAGCAGGTGGAGGCAGAGGTAAGGAGGCAGGGAACATTTGCTTCTCTCCCCAGGGTATACCTGGCTATTCTTTTTGCAGTATTTTTGTTTTTGTCATGTGTCTTGGTGTGGATGAAACAAACAGTTCCCCAAACAGGCTTTGGGTTAGGTACTGGGAAACAAGGATATGTGGGACACAGCTCCTGCCCTGATCCTCTCTATCTCTCTATTAATTCTTAGTGAGCAGAGAGTGAACAGGCTTGGGTTACAGAGATGGTTTTAATTCCTCTGTACATATTTTGCAGCTGCTGAGCAAAAGAAAATGAGTTTCTGGGTGGGTCTTAAAAGTGAATAGAAGGGAAGCTGCGGGTATAGCTCAGTGGTAGAGTACTAGCCTGAGGTTGATTACTAGCACTGCCTGTAGGAGAATGGTGCAGGTAGTCAGGGGCACATGGGCTTCAAGACTCTGGTAATGCACTTTGTTTTTGGTGAAACTGGGGTTTTTGAACTCAGAGCTTCACACTTGCAAAGCAGTTGCTCTACCTCTTGAGCCACACCTCCTGTCCATTTTGCTGTGGTTATTTTGGAGATGAGGGTCTCACCAACTGTTTGCTTAGGCTGGCCTGGAAACTGGATCCTCCTGATCTCAACCTTCCAAGTAGCTAGGATAACAGGAATGAGCCACTTGCACCTGGTGGTAATATACCAGGTGTGGTAGGTTCCTAGTGTTCATTTTATTCTCTAAACCGATAAGTATGTATTGCGACTTTTTAAATGCATGATCTGTTTCATACTTGGGGAAAAATTCAGTGGATGAAATGAAAAGGAAGATAAGCATGTGGTTTTGGTGACACTGAGTTGTTCTGTAGTCTCTTTGAGGGACACAGGCTCCAGCTTTTATATTCTGGGCATTTGTTCATGTGCCTATAGCAGATAGAACTCTTATGCTCAAACGCACTATTCTTTGTTAGCATTTGAAGTCCTATTCTAGTGTGGCATGCTTAAAGTGTTTAGTGATATTGAATGAGTTTTAAGAATCAGGTGTGACATGATAAAAGCGAGAGCACACAAGGGAGGGATGAGGATAGGTAAGACACCTAAAAAACTAGCTAGCATTTGTTGCCCTTAACGCAGAGAAACTAAAGCAGATACCTTAAAGCAACTGAGGCCAATAGGAAAAGGGGAACAGGTACTAGAGAAAAGGTTAGATCAAAAAGAATTAACCTAGAAGGTAACACCCACGCACAGGAAATCAATGTGAGTCAATGCCCTGTATAGCTATCCTTATCTCAACCAGCAAAAACCCTTGTTCCTTCCTATTATTGCTTATACTCTCTCTACAACAAAATTAGAAATAAGGGCAAAATAGTTTCTGCTGGGTATTGAGGTGGGGGGGAGAGGGAGGGGGCGGAGTGGGTGGTAAGGGAGGGGGTGGGGGCAGGGGGGAGAAATGAACCAAGCCTTGTATGCACATATGAATAATAAAAGAAAAATGAAAAAAAAAAAAAGAATCAGGTGTGATTTTAAAATCAAGAGTGTAGCAGAGAACGTACCAGAATTCTAGCTGAGGAGTACAAGAAATGAATAGGTGTGCCTTTCAAACAGAACTCTGAAATTTAAAATGTTTCTGTACTCCTTGTAAATAAAACCTGTGTCTTACGTGTCTTTGTAAAACCAGATCCTTGTCCCATACCTCACCCATAGTAGGTACTCAGATATTGAGCTAAATATTCTGTATGCTGTATTTGCATGGCAGTGGACTTCCGAGCTAGGCTTTTCATGAGTTAGAGCTGATTAATCTTGAATACATTTCCCCTTCTCCCATGTACATCACTCTGTGGGTGTTCAATCTATGGTCATTTTTAATATCCTGCTTCTAGCCAAGGAGGATGAACTGCATTTAGTTTAGCATTAGCACAGGCAAAGACAGGCAGGAAAGAAAGCCTGCTGCTTTTCTAATAAGCTGTACAGCACCCTCCTGATGATGGTGGCCTCCCCTCTGATCCAGCATTGAGATCTGAGCAAAGAAGTACTCTGGTGTGGCTACCCTCCTTTTTGTTTATTCTTTCCTGTAAATCCAACCCTGGGAAAAATGAGGCTTGGAGAGGCTCCACATGCCCTGCCTAATCTCAGAGAGCCTACCCTATGCAAAACCTATAACCTTTAACCTAGTTGAGGGTACCCAGAGGAGCCTCATCACTGCTGGTTGTGTTGAACTGTTACTGAATTTGTGGGAAGTAGGTAGGTAGGTGACATTGTGGTCATCTTTTTAAAATTTTTTCCTTATGGTCCTGGGTTTTGAACTCAGGGCCTTGTGCTTGCTAGGCAAGTGCTATACCACTAGACACATGTCACCAACCTTAAAACCATTTTTTAAAAAACAGATATCTTCAATAAATTTTAATGAAAATAAAAGTAAAAGTGATCTGCAGTGTCAGAACGAGGAGACTCAACGGAGGCAGGCAGGAGCTGCTTGCCTTACCATGGCAATGACCCAGAGTAACCAGTGTGAGCTTGCTGGCCATCTTGGAATCTCCCCATGAAAAGGCCCATGGTGGTCATTAACAAAGATGAATGGTACTAGTTGTAGAATTTTGAACTGTTCGAGTTTCTTTTGTGGTGAATGGCATGAGACAAAAGACAGCTGGGTGTGATGGAGCTATTGTAGATACGTCTGACCCTTGAGGCACACGCTAAGGCAACAGCATACTCTTTAAATTGTAGTGCTTTTTTTCTTTCTTTTTTGAAACATTGTCTTGCTATATAGCCCAGGTTGGCCTCAAACTTGTGATCTTCCTGCCTTAGCCTCTTGAGTGCTGGGATTGCAAAAATGCCACACCACCTACCACACTTGGCTTAAATCATGGCTGTTTTTTAGAGAGAGAGAGAAAGAGAGATGGGGAAGGGCAGGCCAGAGACAGATGAAGATTTGTTCTGGGTGGTCTGCTTGTGGTCAAACACAGCTACCCCTGGTGGCAGAGCCTGTTGCTGCCACTAGGTGGCACTAAGGATTTACATTTGAGGGAAAGAAATGTAAGAAAAAAGTCAAGGCTATGTCCAACTTCAGATAGAATAATGTATTGATTTAATAGTCTTCTGGAAAACTTGGAACAGACTGACATAGGAAGAGAGATCTGAGCTCATAGTCTTGTTTTCCGGTCAGTCAGTGCTTGGTTCCAATTATAGGGGCTGATTGTCCACTGCTTGAGGTGCACAGAATGTACTTACTCTCTTGAAAAGAAGACAAATCTATAAAGAACAAAGGAAATTCTGTTGTATTCTCTTTAATTTCTTTTGTCCTTGGCCTAACTTGTACAGCCATTTTTCAACTAAGTTGATGATATTTCTTCATTTGCTCTTAAATTAGATTGCTGTTTTCAGGGGGGAAACTGGTGAGTTTCTCCTTCCATACCCTTCCCTCTGAGTGAAGTCAATTCTATCACAAACTTCCTAAGAATGTTCCCTTAGCCCTCTGTAGGATTAACACTTTATTTGTTGTAGTTCCAGTGTACCTGGGGCAAAAGAACAGCAACATTATGGCCTTTGTACTGTTTCTGAGCAAGTGGTCTGGAGAGGAAGAAGTGATGAATTACACTGTCAGATAGCCCCTCTTCACTTACATTTGGTTTTGGAATGTATTTTTCTTTTTATTTGACTGTGCCCATGTCTGGTGTTTTGTGGAATTTAGTATATAGCTACTGTTAAACATTTACAAAATAGGCTATGTTCTACTCATGTAGGTAAAAAAGCAAAAGTAAGCTCTATTTATCATTACATAGAAACTTCCCCAGGAGTTTGATGACAAATTTTGAGGCCTGTTGGCTGTTATAGCACACTAAAAGCAAGCACGCATCCTGGTACCCCCTGGAGAGAGGGTTTGCTTTTTCTTTGTAGTACTTTCCCAACCATTGGCTCTATTTCCTATTGTCTGCCTTTTTTTGTTTGTTTGTTTATTCTTTGAGACAGTTATCTCATTATATAGCACGCTGGCCTCTATCCTTGTGCATCAGCCTCCACAGTGCTGGGATTATAGGTGTTTGCTGTCATACCCAGCTGTTGTCTGCCTTTGCTTTGCTCCATAGTTGAAGGAAGTTTCCTATCCCTGGAGGCTCTTCTCTCTCTTTTTGCCTGAGTATTTAAGGTCTGACAGAGCCAGGCTGCACTTTGACCAGTATGTACAGTCCCATTGGAAAATTCCTGAGACCCATGTTTTGAAAAGCTCCACAAACTCTTAGGTAGGGCAGGATGGCCTATGAGCCAGCCCCTTGAGGAGTGAGGTTAGAAGGGGGCAAATCTCTGGGGTTGTTTGTTGTCAGTTGATGGGGGCACTAGGAAAGAGGAATTAGACATCTCAAAATATCAGGCCAAAACAGGTTTAACGGGCAGCCCTACCTGGGTGGCCAATCTGAAGTCTTAGAAGTCTCTGAAGATATCCACTCAGGTGGATACCTGGCAGGAACTAGTTGACTCTTAATATTCCCTTCAACCATGAGAGTAATTGGCTCAGTAGTCCCCTCTGTGAGGTCTGTATGTTTAAAGTGCCAGCAGTACAGTTGACTTGAGCATGGCATCTCTGGGAGTCAGTTTGTGGGCTGTGGCATTTCTCCTGCCCAGACTAAGTCCATGGAAGAAAGTCCTAGTTTCTCAGGCATAAAAGATACTTGCCCATGAAGCCCTCTTCACTATAGAGTTAACATTTTGCTTCCAAGTGTTAACCACTGTCAGTAGTCTTTTTTTTTTTTTTGGCGGTACTGAGAATTGAACTTCGAGCCTTGGAGCCTTGTGTTCTAGCAAGTGCCCTGCCACACCCCAAACCCTTTTGCTTTTAGCTTGTTTTTCAGATAGGATCTTGTATTTTTGCCCAGGCTTGCTTTGGAGCTTGGGACCTCAATCCTCCTACCTCCACCTTCTGAGTAGTTGGGATTATAGGCATGTACCACCACATCCAGTTGTCTAGTCTTATTGGAGGAGTGAGATATGTGTGCCTGAAAAATGAAGGAGGCTGAATGGTGGGCCAGATGAATAGAGTGAAAGGCACTGCCAGGCAAGTGCGGATGGAGGGGAGGCAGGACATTGTGGGCTGCAGCGGTCAGGGCACCTTGTATAGAAGAGGTACTTTACTTTCCAGTCAGGGATAGCCAAGGAGGCATTTTTCTCAGGCTGAAATTGTTGGGTTGTGAAAGGCAGAAATGAAATGACTGCTTCTGAGTGTGGTGTTGGAGACAGGGCTGGAATGCAGGCTGTATTGAGGAGCAGGAAAGGAAGGTATTAGACCTTCACTGGTGTTTAAAACTAGAGAAAGAACCAGGATTTCCCTTGGCCAAGACTTTTTTCTTTTTGTTGCATACCAGGGTCACTGAGCTTACTGAGAGAAAATTGTTTGGGGAAGTAGACAGGCATTTGAGTGACGGGGATGGGTGTCCATGCTTTGGTCTGCTTTCTTGCTCAAAAGCATTTGACAGGATCCTGAATCAAAAGCTTTTAAATATAATATGTCCCCATGAGATGAGGAGGCTGTGTTATCATGGTGGAGAGTGCTGGTGTAGACAGGAAGTGAAGACGGAATTATGAGACTGTCTTTAAATCTAAGAGATAAGCCCTTCTCTCCCCTTGGAGAGGGGTAATGCTCAAGCTCCACTGGAAATTTCATCAGAACCTAAGAGTTCACATGTACGGACATGACACTGGAAGTATTGAGCTTTGAGAAGAACAAGTGTACATGCAACCAAAGGATAAAACAGCAAAGCACTGGGGGTAGTTGTGGGAGGCTGACAAGGGAATGTTGCCTGTGTGCCACAGGCAGGGTTTGCTCTTAGCCGGCAGGTTAGGGACTGACTGCTCAGTTCAGCCACAGATACTCTGAGTCCAAATCTGCCCTACATCACCTGACACCACTGTAAAAAAGAGAAATAATGGTTGTTTATTTCTGATAGGCTTGTCATGACTTTATGCTACAGAAACAGTGGAGGGGTTTGAAAATGCAACCATTGTTTGGGGATTGATTGCTTGTAGTATTTTTCTTGCACATGCAGGGATTATGAGACTGTCAGTAAATCTAAGAGATATCAAATGAAAGAATCAGTGTAGACTATAGACTATTTGTGGTATAAACTGATTATTTAATAAAAATTATTATATAATAACCCGAGGAAATAAGATTAAATGGGTTTACCAGCCAAGGTAAAATTAGGAAGCTATGTATTGTTTATTTTATTTTTAAATTTTTTAATAAAGCTGTTTTGTTAGGTGGAAAAGGCAATCATTTGGAAAGGTACCAGGTTTGGAAATATTTTTTGTTGCTGGTGCTGGGGCTGAAAGCCAGAGTCTTGCAGATGCTGCTAGGCAAGCTGTCTACCACTGAGCTGTATACAGTCTGCAAAAACTTGTTAGTTTTCTAATGTCTTGTTTGATTAAAAATTTGTCACCTCTGGAGGAACCTTAAAACAAACCCTTTGCTCAGATACTGTTCTGTTGCAGGACTTTTTCATACCTTGAAAGTCAGAGGTAACTGGCATGCAAAGAAACAAACTTAAGTCATGTGTTACCTCTTACTAAGATTTTAGTTACTTCCTCCTGATGCTTAGAAAGCATATCAACATGCAGATGCCTTGAGATGTTACTTTATGAAACAGTTATACTGAGAAATCACATTTCTGTTTTTGTTTTGTTTTTTTGGTGGTGCAGGGGTTTGATTGCAGGGCCTTACACTTGCTAGGCAGATACTCTACCACTTGAGCCTCGCCTCCAGATCTTACTCTGTGTCAGCTTTCTTTTCTTTCTTCCAACTTTTTTTTTTTTTAAGCCTAATAGTTTTTTGTTTTGTTTTGTGGTTCTGGGGTTTGAACTCAGGGCCTTCACCTTAAGCTACTCCACCAGCCCTATTTTTGTGAAGGGTTTTTTCAAGATAGGGTCTTGCAGAACTATTTGCCTGGGCTGACTTCAAACCTCGATCCTCCTGATATCTGCCTCCTGAGTAACTAGGATTACAGGCGTGAGCCACCAGCACCTGGCAAGCCTAATGTTTTTTTGAGTGGACAGTTCTTCCCTTCTGCCTCTCCTACTTCTAGCTACGTTTCCTGTACTTTTTCTTTCTTTGCACAACCTGAAGAATAGAAATGTAAAAACCATTAGAACTCGTGTTGGGGAATATGTATATAAACAGGCACTGGAGTACACATGTAGAAATAAAAATTGGTACAATCACTTTTCACAAGGTAGTCAGGTTGAGCATCCCTAATCCAAAAATCTGAAATCTAAAAAAAAAAAAATCTGATTTTTTTTTTTGACGGTATTCAAGTTTAAACTCGGTTGAACTCGGGGCCTCATGCTTGCTAGACAGGCCCTCAACTACTTGAGCCACTCCACCAGCTCAAAAATCTGATATTTTTGAGTGTCAGTAAAACTACACAAATCTTCCAAAATCTGAAAAGCTTTGAAATCTGAAACTGTGGTTCTAGGCACTTCAGACAAGGGATGCTCAACCTATGTAGCAGTACTGCTTCAGTGTAAAATGTGCAGCCCCATTGATCTGGAAATCTCACTTCTAGTTTGTCTTGCACAGGAGTTCACACAGTATGCAGGCATGAACAGAAAACTGTTCAGACTATCACCAAAAAACAAACTGGGAACAAATTTTAAAATTGTTGAACATGTATAAGACGGTAGTAAACAGATATTACAGAGGATTTTTATGTGCTGACATGGAAAACTGTTCAGAAGTTGCTTAGATATGTTTGAGCCCCTTCTTTATTAACTGAAAGAAAATGTATACTGCAAATAATGGTGAGATAGTGATAGGATGTGCCAATTCTTGCTGTTTGTTTGTTTGGGGCAGTACTTGGGTTTGAACTCAGGGCCTTATGCTTTCTTTTGCTTTAGTTATTTTTCAGGTAGGGTCTCATGTTTTTTGCCCAGACTCACCTGGAACTCACCATCCTCCTGCTTCAGCCTCCTGAGTGCTGGCATCACAGACATGTACCACTTGCCAGTTTTTTCCTTCTTTTCTTTATTTGCTTGAAGTTCATCCTCCAGTTGTTTATTCAGAAGAGTTGTGGAACTGTACTGTCAATATCTTTGTGAAAATGTGGCTTTATACATGAACAGAAGCTGAGTATAGAATGCTTGGGTCACACCCCCTTTGTCTAGGGACACTTTAATGGGTACTTCTGTCTCCTGTATTGTATCTCTTTGCCACATGGTCCACTACTGCTCGTATCAACCAAGAAAGCATTAGTTTCCCATTTTTGCTAGACTCATTTCCACATGTCTTGAACGAGTAGCTCCTGGTTGTTTTCTCCCCCTCTGAGCTTCTGAAGATCATTCAGATTTTCTTACAGAGGATTTTGGCTGCTTCTCTGAGTGGTCCTCATTACAGTGAGAACAAGTCTTGGTGAGTTTCAGGTGCTTACAGGCTGAACATGCCAATTCTGTTTCTCCTCCAGGTTACCAACATCAAGAAGACACTTAAAGCCACCGCGTCCTCCTCAGCTCAGGAAATGGAGCAGCAGCTGGCCGAGCGGGAGTGTCCCCCTCATACTGAGCAGAGGCAGCCCACCAAGAAGATGTCCAAAGTGAAAGGTCTGGTCTCTAGCCGCCACTAGGGCTGGCTGGGGCAGCTGGCACTCACCAGGCCTGGGTCAGGTGGGGAGGGGACACCACGGGCCTATTTCCTCTCCTCTCTACCTGCAGTGAGTTCCAGACCTGCCCATCCCCTCACCAGCACCTCCTCACCCATTGGTACCGGTCCAGAAAAACCATTGCTCCTACCCCTATCCACCTTTTCCTTCCCTAGTTGTTCCCTTCAGACTCAGGGGCTCCACGGATGCCGTCCTAACAGGATTGAACACTGCCCGGCTTCCCTCCAGGAGGTTTTTGTCTCTGCGTACGGGCTTGTCTCCCTCCCAGTTGTTCTTTTGCTCCGTGTCCTTTTGTCAGGCTGGTCATAAGCCGGAGGCAGCTTTACCCGGCCCACAGGGATGACTGCAGAGGAGGCCCCTCCCTCTCTGAGCAAGGAGGGGCCTTCCTTCTCCAGCCCCATGTACCGCAGTACCCACAATGGTGCAGACGTCTAGCCAGGTATCCACATGCTTTGTTCTCCTCTCCTGCCTTACCCTGTGTTGGCAGCTCCAGTTCAGGCAATGGAGGGATGTGATGCTGGGCTATGTTTACTAAACCTGCGGGTTTTTAGCCTCTTAAGCCCAGTTCAGATCTCTCATCAGTTGGGAGTGCTGGGCTGACTAACCTCTGGTATCTGAGCACAAACGGAGGGTGCTGGGGTCTGCTGGGTGGCAGAAATTGTTTCTCCCGGCTTGGTATCCTCTGCTGGCCACTCTTCCTGCTGCCTCTGACTGCTCAGCCTCATTTCGGCATGTAGGCCCAGCTGCCCGCTGGGGCTGTCTGCCAACGTTTGCTCTCCCGAGATCTTTCATGCCTCCTGGCCGCCCCTGCAGTGGGGTGGTGGTGCCGAGGCCCCTCGTCTGGAGAAGGACAGTTGCTGCTTCTGTCTCTTCCTTCCCATTCCTCCTTGGCTGGTGACCCAGAGCCCTCTGATGACACCGCACTCCTGGCCAGAGAAAAGGACTTGACTAGACTTTCAGAATTTGAACAGTTTCAGGTTATATTTTAACTTTTTTTTTTTTTGTACAGGTTGATTCTAATACATTTCATCGTGCTTTTTTCTCCCCTGTGTCAATATTTGTTAAAGATTAATCGCCGGGGATTTTTCACTTGGTGGGAGGGTGGTGTGTGTATGTGTGTGTGTTTTGTTTTTATGAGGGGAGGTGGAGGTCCTGGGCTGATATTAAAGTTCATTGAGGAAAAAGCACATTTCAGAACAAAAAATAAAAAGCATAGATTTTGCTGTATGTGACTGTAGAGCGTGGGGTTGTATAGAGGGTGGATGTGGAGGGGCAGTGATTAGGGTGTTTCAGAGAAATGTGATGTTATTCAATTCCATGGTGGAAAACTGGGTTTCAGCTTTTTCTAAAATGTCCAGCAACTGCCTACCCTTGATGAAATGTTCAAGTGTCCTTGTTTTCTTTTCACGCCGGTCCATGTGCCCATACCACATTATGTCCAACAGGAGAGTTAAGTTTAATTCCCAAAGTGTATTTCATGAATCCCCTGGTCAGATGCTCTGTGGAAAAGGGGTTCTGTTATTAAATAAATGTGGCACTCCCTGCATCCCATATCCTCACTGGAAATTCATTACTAAGGGCTTAGAGAAGTCCTGGGATGGGGGCGGGGAGCCTGTGCCCACAGCTGATTTCATCACCAAATCTTTTGGAGTATTGCTCTTTCTAGTGGGACACATTTTACATTTTGGGGGAAGTTTTGGGAAACATATTTCTCAAAAACCCTAAGAGAGACTATCTCCCAACCTCATAGGTGTTTATAGCTATTCTTTCTAGACCTAAAAGAGGAATACTCTTGGAAAGCTACCTTTTGAACTTATTTTTCCCTCTGGTAAGTAGGTTATAAAATGTAGCTTGGTTTGTATACCATGCATGGTCATTTGTTTTGATGGTCCCCACGGCCCTAAGGATCTGTAGGAACATTTTCTCCACAGCTCTGCTTCTTCCTTTTTTTTTTTTGTGGCACTGGGGTTTGAACTCAGGACCTATACTTTGAGCCACTCCACCAATCCTGTTTTGTGGTGGGTTTTTTTGAGATAGGGTCTTGCAGACTCTTTACCCTGGCTGACTTCAAACCGCAAGCCTCCTGATCTCTGCCTCCTGAATAGCTAGGATTATAGGTGTGAACCACTGGCGCCTGGCCCTGCTTCCTTGAAAATGATGGCAATATTAACACATTGGTAAAGTACTTTACAAAATGTTTTCATGTATATAAAGTCATTTCTCCAGTCTTCAGAGTTAGTAAGGGCATTATTACAGTCATCCTTACTTTAGAGGACAAGTTTTTTGTTTTTTGGTGGCACTGAGATTTGAACTCAGGGCCTCATGCTTGCTAGGCAGGTGCTGTTACCACTTGAGCCACTCCACCAGCCCTTTTTGTGATGGCTTTTTTAAAGATAGGGTCTCACAAACTATCTGGGGCTGGCTTTGAACACTAGAGTCTCACCCTATGTCCAGGCCAGCCTGAACTGGGATCCTCCTATTTTATGCTTCCTGTATAGGTGGGATGACAGTCATGTATACCACCACACCCAGCTATTGGTTGAGATGGGGTCTCAAACTTTTATGATCCTGCTGATCTCTGTCTCCTGAGTTGTTAGGATTACAGATGTGAGCCACCACACCTTGCCCAATCCACCTTCTTTACCTGAGCTTTGGTACTTCCTGAAGTCCCTTCTGTGCTCTACTGTTTGTACTAACAAGAATCATGGCTCTTACTTGGGTAACATCAGGGAGTTGGTCAAAGCCAATGCAGGTTGTTCTTGTGTCCCAAATCTGAGATGATCACCACCAATAGCATCATCTCCTCTCCTTTCCAGATTTGAGTAGGTAAATGGAGTGATGACCAAAGAAATAAAGAGAATAGATTGCTTTTGATGCTGAAATCAGGCATGCTGGGTTGCCTGAAGTGAAATTGAGCATTCTAGTTCTTTTTAAAAAAATTTTATTAGCATTTAATAGTTGCATGAGGGGACAGATTCTAATATTTACATATGTGCTCAATTAGATTTATCCCCCTCCATCATTCTCCCTCTTCTGTTTTCATATATGTAAACAAAACACATCCACTGTACACACCCTCATTCCCCCTTTCCTGGTGGCCACTTACCTCCCACTGGTATCCACCCCTAGAAAAGACCTATTTTTCCCTACTGCCTTAATTTTTTTAAAGTGAATTATTAATAGTTCAAGGGGGTTTTGCCTTGGTACCTCAGGCCTGTATATCATGCTTTAGTTAAATTAACCCCCTCTTCCTCCTTTTATTCTGTATCACCAAGCTCCCCTAATATTCAACAGCTTACTGTCTACTACATTATATTCCATTTATATCTGGGTTGTTTTAATATTTTCATTCTCTAATATTTTCTTTACCTCTCCCACCTCCTGTAGATCATTCTAGTTCTTCTACTTAAAATGTCATTATTCTAACAGCCTGAGACTTCAAAATTTTTTTTATTTTATATGCAGCAGCTGGTTGACATTTATTGGTCCTGGAGGACCCAATTATTACACTTCTCATGGTATTTGAGTGTCAAGTCTAGCATTTTTGGGCAGTCTGTGATTTCACCTGTATCTTCCTGGGGATTTTGCATATAGCCATGAGCATCTGATTAGTATGTCTTTTTTTTTCCCTTTGGTGGTGAGGGTACTGGGGTTCGAACTCAGGGCCTCATACTTGCTAGGCAGGTGCTCTACTACTCCGCCAGCCCCCTTTTGTGTTGCCTATTTTCAAAGTAGGATCTTGTGAACTATTTACCAAGGCTGGCTTTGATCTGCGATCCTCCTGATCACTGTCTCCTGAGTTGCTGAGATTGCAGATATAAGCCACCAGTGCCTGGCTGTTGGTCTTTTCTTGTAGTTTTGCTTGAGATGTGTAAATTTAAATACATACGCTATTATAGATTTCATTTTATATCACCATTAGGGCATTAAGTGGATTCCTTTTTGGTTTTTTTTTTTTTAGACGGTCTTGCTGTGTAGCCCAGGATGGCGTGGAACTCAGCCTCCTGAATGCCAAAATTACTAGCATGCACCACCACACCCAGCTCTAAGTGGAGCTCTTAAGTTTTTATCTGCTAAGTAGGTTGTCTGTGACTTGACCTTGGGACAGTAAAGGTGGATGCCATCGTCGTGTTTATTACAGAAATTGTGTCTATTAGGGATGAGAGCTACTGTCCTTGGTTAAGAACCAGTGAGGGGGAAAGCAAAGATGAGGCAGCCTTCCTTCCTGGGGTCCTTTATGCCCATTATTGCATTGCTTTCTCTAGCAAACCCCTGCAATGGATCAAGCCAGTGATTTACCCTTCCTCTTCACACACCACTGGAGAAATCTCATGACTGCAGATGGTTCCACTATAGGTTTGTTCTCCCCAACTTTAACTGGGTCCTCAGAGCTGTTGAGCCACCCTTTATATGTCCCATTGTCTCTCTCTCATTCCTTACAACTGTTAGGAAGTTCCACCAATTTCTGACAGTGGTTTACCCGATTACACTCCTCTCCCTATGCTTTACTACCTCATAGCGAAAATAGAGAACTTTGGTGGAGAAACTGGTTTCTTTTCTTCCCTCTGTAGATTTGTCTAATTCATCTTTACCTCCTTTGTCCTGTGGTGGAAAAGACGTCCCTCATTCTGTGAGTATAGCTTCTCCACCTGTGCCTCTTCTCCCAGCAGTCTTCAGCCTCACGCGTGTGAGAAGAATTTCCCTCTGGGAACCTCATGTCCCTTTCTAGCCTCCACTTTTTTCTAACAACCAAGCTTCATGAGATTATCTGCCTTTTCTGTCTCTGCTTCCTCCTCATCAGCACCTGCCCCTGACCAGCCACTGATCATTTTCTTGTCAGGGAGGCCATTGACCTCCAGCTGACTCTCTCAGCCTCTATCTGGCTTAACCATCTTTATGTTGTAGTTGGCAGTGGTGAGCCCACTTCAAGCAGTCTTCAGCTTTCATGGCCCTGATCTCCAGAGTTTCTGTGTTCCCCTGCCTATTCTAAAATGTTTTAGGGGTGTTCAGTCACTTTATTGCTGAGGAAAATCAACGTAAAGGAGGAAAGATTTATTTGGCTCACTGTTTCTGAGGTTTCAGTCCATGGTCATGGCAGTATCTGAAATATTTTTAAAAGCTTTTTACTGAGGCAGTTGTAGTTTCATATGCATTCACAAGAAACAATACAGAGAAGTCCCTGTGCACTTTGCTCAGCTTCCCTAATGGTAACATTTTGCCAAACTAACACATGGCAGCCAGAATATTGACATTGATTCAGCCCACAGATCTTATTCAGATAAATTCACATTTACTTATTTGGGTATGTGTGCATGTGTGTTAGGTTCTTTGCAGTCTAACAACCTGTTTAGGTTTGTGTATCCACAACCACTGCATGTTTTCATCACTATAAGAATTCCTCCCCTCCCCTGTGCTGGGGATCCATCTCAGCCTTCCTGCGTGCTAGGCAAGGGCTCTACCACTGAGCTACATGTGCAGCCCCCAAAGAGGTGTTTCTTAATGATTTCCCAGACAGCTTCAGAATGGCATTTTGCTACCAGAGGAACCCACCATGTAATTAGAGGGTTGGAACTTTCAGCCCTACCTCCACTGACTTCCAGGGAGGGGCTAGTGATTTAATCAGTTATCAGCAATAAAAACCCTTTTGTTGTCTTTGTTTTAAATGGAGGCTCCATTACACTGAGGGTGTTCAAAGATATTCTGGATGGGTGAAAGCATCCCCATGCCAGAAGGGTGGAGTACCCAACTCAGTGGGGACAGGAGCTCCTGTTTTGGGAACCCTGTTGGACAACATCCAGTATATCTCTTAAGTGACTGTTCATTTGTATTCTTTATGGTCCCCTTTATAAGAGACCAGAAATAGTAAGTAAAGTGTTTTCCTAAATTCTGGGAGCTGTTATAGCAAATTTTCAAAACTAAAGAGGGGTTGTGCCAGCCCCCAAATTGTAACCAAGTTAAAAGAGAGTGGTATAACCTGGAGACCCACTACTTATAATTGATGTCTGTTTTAGTTTGAATTTCTTGAGTTACCGATGAGGGTAAACTTTTTTGTATGCTAATTACCCCATTGCTTGTCTTTTGTGATTCCTTGTTCTCTCACTCATTTTCCCACTAGGGTCATTTTTTTATGCTGATTTCTAAGTACTACCCAGAAATGGCCAGCAGAGAGAAGCTATGTGTCAGTCTGTAGGGAAAGATGCTGAAATCAGAGGCTCAAGTACATTTTGGTCAAAGGCAGAGCCTGGTCCCTGAGGCTGGAGGTGAGGATTTAGAAGCCCAGACAGGACTGGAGGCATGCCTGAAGTGGTAAAGCGCCTGCCTAACAAGCAGGCCATGAATTCAAACCATAGAACCACAGGGTAGGTAGAGGTGGGAAGAAGCTCAGACAAGGCAGTTAATTTCCTGTCTAAATTGAAGTTGTCTGAAAGTCTATGGTGTAGGCCAGGAACAAGAAGATGACGACTTGCGAAAGGCCAAGACCAAGTCCCAGAGAGGCAGGTGAATTCTGAATTCTGTCTATAGGAGACATCCAGGAGTCCTTTAGTTGAAAGGTACTTTTTGTGTTGTGGCATTACATGAGTCATGGGCTGCTGTTGCCAGACAGTGGTTGTGTGTGTGTGTGTATGTGTGTTTCTATGCAATGTGTGGATTCCCTCCACAACCAAGATACAGAACTTGCTGTATCATCCCAAAGATCCCTCATAATACTTGTTATAGTCACCTCCTCTATCTGCCCTGTCCTTAAAAACACCTAGAAACCATTAACCCTATAATTTGTCATTTTAAGAATGTTACATATAGTGCTGGGCATGGTGTTGCATATCTGTAATACCAGCTACCAAGAGGCAGAGATTGGGAGGATGGTTTTTCAAGGTTAGCTTGGTCAAAGAAGTTGGTGAGACACCCATCTTAGCAAATA